GAGAGTGCATCCCTTCAAGTGGGATGGGCTCTCAAAGTCCCTTCTTACACCAGGGAAAAATACTAATCCACTACCAGGGTTCCCCTAGAGTGCAGAGGCATCCTAATTGACATCCATGTTCAGGGGTCTGGATCAGTTCTGTACTGGCCTCCCAGACAGGCAGCTGTGGTGCATGTGCTCCACCTTGTACAGGCCAGCTGTTTCTGTGGGTTTCACCACCCTGGTACTGACCCCTTTGATCTTCATAAGGCAACTCTTATAAAGTAAACGATTTAATAAATGTTGGTTTACAGTTTTAGAGGTTTAGTCCGTTGTCATTACTGCAGGAAACATGGAAGCACACAGTTATTGTGCTGGAGAAGTAGCTGAGAGTTCTGCATCTGGATCTGCAGGCAGCAAGACAAAATGACTCTGGTCTTCGAATAGGACTTTGAAAAGTCAGAGCCCACCCCCAGTGACACACATCTGCCAACAAGGCCATACCTCTTAAATATTTTCAAATACTGCCATCCCTTGTTGTCAAGTAGTCAAATTTGTATGAGTCTATGGAGGCCATTCTCATTAGAACCATCACAGATCCCCAGGGTCTAAGTGAAAACTTCACATTGCTCCTCATATGTATAACCCCAATCCTGAGAAGATGGAGACAAAAAGATCCAGAACTCCAACTTTTTTACATTTATTTTAAAAATAAGTGATATTTAAAATTGATAATAATTAATTTCTCCATCTTCATATAATTATGTCAAGGGTTAACTACATCATAAAACTAACCCAGTTGGCAAAAATATTCTTTTACCTCCTCACATTTGGATTTAAAGCTCCTTTCTTTTAGCACTATAAAATGTAAATGATTATTTTTTTCATTTGGCAGGCTTTCATTTATTACAAACAAGGAGCAAAAACTTGCATGTATAGAAATACTAAAACATCTCTGGCAATGAACAAAGTGTCATTGCAGAAACTTCATGGCAGAACTGTAGACAAACAGATGCAAAGAGGAGAGCTGTTAAACTGACAACTTGCAATGAGCCCATTTATCAATCAAAGCATACATTTGTAAATGTGGAAAGAAACATAACTGGTTTAGTCTATTCCAGACTATATGGAAGTTATCCTAAGTAACAATGAGAAAAGTGTAGGATGTAAGGGTGACGTTTTTTTTGATGGGGGATATAAATTGAGGATTATGAATTTCCTGAACTCAGCACCTCCTGACCCCAGAATTAAGAGAACTTCTCTTGCTGAATTATGCTCACTTTTCCCTTCATCTGGTATAGGAGATAGCATCGCTTACCCAATCATGTAATTTTCTTCCCCAATCCTGCCCTTTGTTTTGAATAAACAAAGAGCCTGGATAAGATGGATTATAAAACAGTGGAGGGTATAATTCCAAAGGAGGCTTCAGTTGGACTTCATAAGATGAATAAATGTGTTCTGCAGTGAACTACCTGGACAAGGGAAGCTCATGAATGGTAACAGATGAGTAGAGAAGAGGCATGGGGTGAAGTCAATGTGGAAAACTCCAGTTTAGCACAGATCTGGATAGAGTGCAGAAAACCAAGCAGTTTATGCAGAAGGATTTCACAGTCACAGAACAAAATAACCAGTGGTTTTATTCTACCTGATGTTGACTGTTGGAACCTAGTCACTGTTAGATGGACACTGAACATGGCATAAAATATGTGAGTAATGCATACAACCTAAATTCTTGGAATGTAGCAAAGCAAGATTCATGCAGATTTGAACATTGAACAAACCTTTTAACTGATTACTTGTAAAGGAAAACAATGTTGCCAACTAGAACAGCGGTAATCTATTTAGAGAAAGATATAAGACCAAAAGCAAGTATAATCCAAAAGGATTTTTAAAATAAAAACCTTGAACAGTGGCATGCCATGCCACATTAAAGGGCATAGGGGATTTTTGGGGGGAGGACATTTTTTTATTTTTTATTTTTACAAATCAGAAATGAACCATTAAGTGGAAAGTATCAGGTAATTCTAACAATTAAAGAAAATAATATTTTTTATAGAATGGCACAAAAAGGAACAGAAGAAATAATTAAAACATATGAGAGTAAGCAAATAATTCTTAAGAGCTATAAGATAGGAACTTTATTTAAGATGAGAAAGGAGTTTATATTAGTGAGGAGGGTGGGCAGAGACTCTGCAAAGAGGGACAAGCAAAAGGCTGCTCTTTGTGAAGAAAAGGAAGCTAGGGCTACAGGAAGAATGAGAGGATGCCTGCTACACAAAGATGTCCATAAACTGTGAACCAGTAGGAATACAAAACTTTCAGTAGGTAAATATTGAGCTCATTTCTGGAAAACAAGAAATTCCATAACACTTTAGGATTGCTCTAAGATTGAAAATGAGTTAATTAAGACAACAAAATGATTGCTATCTCATTTTCATTTTAAAATATTTCTAAGCATTCTGAATTATTTTCCCATGTCCCTTCATGGTGTACTTATGTATCATAGTAGAGTATGGAATTACTGTTGGTTACATCTAAGTTTCTGGGATTTTAAGAATTATTACCTCATTTTGTTTATTAATTAGTTAGTTTATTTATTGTGTATGTGTGTATTGCAAGCTTGTGGTCTGTGTTTGTGTGCTATGCACATTCTCTGACATTCATGTGGAGGTCAGAAGACAACTTTCAGGAGTTAAAAAAATTCAATATTGAGGCACAAGAAATGGAGCAACAGGTACACACACTTGCTTCCAAGTTTGATGATCTGAGTTTGATGTCTGGGACACATATGACAGTAGTCTACAAGTGACCACCACAAGCTGTCTTCTGACCCCCATGGTCATACTATCACGTAGTATGGCCACCCATACATACACACAAATTAAATAATTTAAAATATAAGGTTTATTGTTTTGTAATCACCATACATAATACATCAACGTACCAATGTTACTAGACTATAAATAATTTATAAGAGCAGTGTAGGAGAAATTACATACAGAGGAATAAAAGATATATGTGATGGGGAATGTAGGATGACCCCATGCCCCAAAGTTCACAGAGGAAGAGGGAAACCTGCCACCACAGCCTGCCCTGTGGGGCTGCTGAGAGGCATTGGAGCAGCTTCCATATGCTCGCGCAGTCCGAGCGCTCTTGGGGGTTGGACTCAGCACTCCCGAGATGATAAAGACAGATCCAGAAAAGAAAAACCTCTAAAGGTTTATACTACATTTATAAATATATGTAGGCTTGTGAGAGAAAAAGTAACAGGAGGAAATAGAGTAGCTGGGTGTGGTGGCACACACCTTTAATGTCTCCACTCCAAAAGCAGAAGCAGGCTGATTTCCACAGAGAAACCCTGTCTCAGGTAAAAGAAACAAAAGGAAGTAAAAGTAGAATAATCAAAAAGCCACCTAAAGATGAAAAATACACAGAGAGTCTGGATACTATATGCTGTATTGTTGTCTTTAAATTGTTTGATTTCCAAGGAAAGAGTTACTGCTGCTAAAATACATTTGATTATAAATGCTGCTAAATTAATCCAAGTTATACATTTTAAAAATGCTTTGACTTCAAAATTTAAGTCTAAGGACAGGCTACTTGGGAAAAAATTTTTGCTTGTGTTTCTACAAAAAATGAAAGGCTGTAGATTCCTTCCATACTAATATGGTTTGATCAAGCAAGACCTCCTAAAGCAGTGACCCAACTGATCCTACATCCAAAACAGCTGAGATGATGCAGCCTTATAGACTACAAAAACAATGACTTGGTCACATTTCTATGTTTTATCATGATCCCCATGTTATGGACATCACCCCCAATCAGCAGGAAGCAGTTTGGAATAAGCGACGCCTGAATTCCCAAATATTATTTATAAATGTTTGTTTTCATTTAAATGGGGTTGGTTATAAATAGTAATAAGCATAATCAATCTCTTTTTAAAGAAAAAACAAGGGAATAGGATATAGGAATAAATACTTTGCATTCGTATGGATTTTCACTTATTGATACAACTTTAATGTCAATTTTGTGATATGTATATGTCTCCTCTTGTTTAGGTATTGTGTTTATACATATCTTTTAAAATGATATGAATAATTAAAGACAGGCTATATATTCACCTCTAATAATCAGAACTTATAACTAGGTTAGTTATTTTTCTAGATAATACAGAGATGTGTTTGAGATGGATAGGTATTCTTCAAACCTTTCAAATACCACAGAATATAGAGCATTTAAACGGTTTGGGTTTTTCTTGGCAGTGAGTCACAACTGCTCCTGGCACACCAATTATGTCAGAAAGGAGGTTGGGCATAGAAGAAACTCATTATGGAGTTTGCTTTCAACACAGCAAGATTAGCCATTTGGGCAAGAAACTACTCTTGCCTAGACTGTTTGTTGCTGTATAAACTGGACATGCAGGACCCACAAGAAAGTGACTGCTGAACTTACAAAACAAAACAGTACTGAAGGGTTCCTGTTGAAATGGAGAAGTGTGCCAGACACACTATGACTTATAGGCTGAAGATAGATGCCCCAGTGTTACAGAGGAACTTTGGGTGACTGTCCAGGTAGTGAAATGTCTCTGTCAATTCTAGAGTTTATATATTATCCTTCTTTGGTCTTTGATAGAGTTAAAGACAGATAGGTATGGTTATAGTTTTCTTCAGTTATTATAAAAGATAAGTTACCCTTTTTATTTAGACATAAAAGAGGAGATGATGGGGAATGTACTTCTGTGCATGTTCATCCTATTGCTTGTTGAATAAAGTACTGTTTGGCCAATGAGGCAGCATGTTAGGTGGGACTAGGAGTCAAGGAGGATTCTGGGAAATGTAGTAAAGAAGTGATGATCCAGGCAGGAAATGACATAGCAAGGAGACTCATATATAAACAAAGGAAGAAGGGAGTGGGCCCCTACTCTCTTCCTCCAGAGTCACCATGTGATCCCGGGATGAGGATGCCAATGGAAGGCATCCTAAATAAGATAAGTCTTATAAAATATATAGATTTGTGATAATTAAGACTGAGCTAAAAGATGAGAAATCCTAGTCACTGGCCAAGCAGAATTTGTACCTAATATAAGTCTCTTTGAGTTACTTGGGGCCTTAATATGGTGGTGGGTAGAACTTGGGCAGCCTGGCAGAAAGCGCCCATGTGGCTACATGGTTCAGGTGGCTTTTGACATAAAGATTTATTGTAACATCTATGGATACAAATTTCTCACACTAGAAAAATTAGTTAACTAACAATGTCTTGCTTGTTTAAAGGTTTTAGGAAAAGAGTGCCCTAGTTCAGGCTCACTGTGACCATCCTGATAGCTCCCTTTCTAAAGTCCTCTGCAATATAGTATTCTGTGCCAGTTTCTTTTCCTCTATAGTGTCTTGGAGAAAGTCAACTGTGTTGTGCATGGAAGACCCTCTATGTGTTGAAGATTTTACAGATGGGTTAAAACTTCACAACTCTATTTTGTCCAGATATGGACCTGAATTATCTTGAGCTACCTTTTGTCTCCCAGGTAACCATTTACTGTTCACCTCTTTGTCTGACCTAACTTTCCATGCACAGGAAAATCTTTGAACTACATTCTAAGGAGACAACCAGCTTCAACTAGTTCTATTGACAGAAATGTTGTCAAATAATATGAGCCTCATAGCAGAGATTTTCTTACTTATTTTTAATGAATCTGTCTGATGTTCTTATAATGTATCCTTTAAAGCCTTGTTCTATGACTTCTTTATGTTCATTTTTTTATAAAAATTATATAATCATACACATTGGAACATGTTATTCAGGCAATGGGAATTCATTTTCTGTGGCCATAATCATGCTCTTTGTCTTAAACTGTTTTCTACCTGTGAGGTGATAGCTGGCGTTTGTATCAGTACTTCGAACCATAAAACTCATGTTACAAGACCATCACCACTACTTTTAATGAAACCATTGATCAATGAATTAACTAGTCATTCACAAGGTGGAAATTTTATTAATCATTGTATGAGAAGGAGTTATTATTTGCTTAATATTCAAAACTGGAAAAGTCTGTGTGTTAAGCAGGTCACAAGTCATCTGGCATTTCAATGCTGCTTTTAACCAAAATAATATTATATGCTATTGTAACAAGTTTAAAGTCTCTCTAACAAAAGCTTATAACTTTTTATACTTATGCAAATAGCATATATCAATTTAGGCATTAGAGCAAAGTGGGAGTTTCATTTTCAAGAGGAACAACCCTGAAAGTTTCAAGATTTGAACTGGCCATTTTATGTAACCAGGCAAGGCTTCTAGTGGTAGGAATGGTATACCAACTCAGCCAAATATACTTCTACCTACAATCTGTCCTGCCTGGAAGATGTGTGGGGCAATGGTCTCAGGACTTGTGGGAGTGGCCAACCAATGGCTGTCTAACTTGAAGCCCAAGCCAAGAGAAGGAACCCATGCCCAGATGGCCAGGAACTAAAAGCTGGATGGTCCAGAGACCTAAGGTAGAACCAAACATGACTGGAAAAAAGTATCAATGAAATTATTCATGATATTCTGTTCTACTCATAGATCCATGCCCTTACTAATCATCAACAAAGAAAGTTCTTCAGGTAGCTTAAAGAATCAGATACAGAGACCCACAGCAAAACAGTAGGGAGAGTTTAAGGGAACCCCACAGAAGAGGGTAAGGAAGGATGGTAAGAGAATATGGATTAATGACACTAGGAAAACAGAATCCTCAAAACCAACTAAGAAGGGCTCATGGCTCACAGAGATGGATATTTCGATCATAGATCATAGAGCCTACCTGGGTCTGTGCTAGATCCTCTGCATATATGTTGTGGTTGTTTATATTGGGATTTTTGTATAACTCCTAACAGTGAGAATTGGGTTATCTTTGAGTCTTTTTCCAGTTCTTGGGATGCCTTTCCTCCTACAGGTTGCTTTGTTTAGCCTTGATATGATGCATTGAACCTAGTCTTAGTTCATCTTCTTATGCTGTGTTTGTTTGATATCTCTGGAAGGCATGGTATTTTCAGAAGGCATGGATTTGTGGGGGGAGGGGAAGTTTCATGGGAGGTCTTGGAAGTATGGAGGAGGGGAACCTTGACTACAAGTCAAGGGCTATTGTATGAGAAAACACAAAGAAAAAACATGAAAAATACAGAAGAAACGATTCAGGATTCACAGTGCCTATCTTTTCAAATATGTATGTAAGGAAGAAGTTCAGGTGATTTTGCTGTTCATTAACTACAAGTTTCTGCTTGAAGTGAGGCATCCTTGCAGGTCTCCCATGCTACATGATTATCATAATCCCAGGAGTTAATCTCATATTCAGATCAACATTAATATTAGCCACAGACTTCATAATGCATGACTTCTGATAAAACCTGATTATTTTATCTCATGCCAAAAATATCACATGTAGAATAAGGAAGGCATGCTTGTAGTTTTTGTTTATTTGCTTCTTTTCCTTGTAGTATTAAAGCTGGGAGAGCACAGGCAATTTGGAATGTAGGCTTATAAACAAACACATCTCTTTCTGAATCTGCTGTACCAGGAGTGATTGAATTTTTTGTTTAATGGTTACACAATTGTATTTGATTAATTCTCTTATTTGTGTGTATAAAAAGGCATGTATATATCTCTGTGTATGCCTGTGAAGGCATAGGGCTATGTCCAATATCTTCCTTATTCACTCTCCATCTTATATTTTGATCAGGATCTCTCAAAAAAAGCTGCCAGTTAGGTAAGATTGTCTAGCCACAGCAAGGCCATCTCTGCCACAACCCCCAACACTGTGATTGTGATCCTGTACCACCACACTCAGTTGTTTTCATAAAGGTTCTGAAAATGAAATTCAGGTGCTCATGCTAGTAAAGCAAACATTTTACTACCCAGCCATTTCCTCAGCTCCTCAATTTTTAAAACCTCTGAGGTGGAATCTGGTAAATATAAGTAAGCCTTCATTATCTATGTCTTTCTCAATTCCTTATTTCTCAAACTAATATTATTTTATCCTTTCTCCTGACCCCTGTCACTCACTCAGCTTAGCTCTTAATTCCCCAAAGAAAAGTCATCAGGAGAAATTATCTTATGCTTGAGGTATTAGGAAGGGATTTGAGTCTTTATCAGTGATAGTTGTTTTCTTTTTAATACGATTTTATGAAAAATCAACTATTTTGCAGATCAAAACAAGCAGAAAACAAATAAGAACCAGTGAAAGCCTGGGTGTCAAATCTTGAACCTCGCGGTTTTTTAGGTTCATTACAGGAGTGTAGGGGAACCTGTAGCCACACACGCCTGCTTAAGGGCTGGCTTAAGGTTCCTCTACACAGGAGATTAAAAGGTGCAGTCTACCTGTATTGGTTGTTCGCACAATGAGGGCAGTAGCTATTTGGTGAGGGCTTTGCAGGGTATTGCTATGGATAATGCTTTGTCAGCTTGAAAAGACATCTCTAGGCCATTTCTAGATTAGTTTATCTTGTGTAAGAAGGTCCCTTCTGAATGTAAATAGAATCATTCTATGCTCTGGAGTTATGCAATGAAGAGAGAAGGTCAGTAGGACTGCTCATTTCTTTCTGCTTCCTAACTGGTGACAATAGGTCTCCATCTGCCTCACACCCCTGCTTCCTTCCCCACCAAGATGAACTTCACCCTCAAACTTTGAGCCAAAAACAAGCCTTCATTCCTCATAGTGTTTTGTCAACTATTTTGTTACAGCAATGAGGACAGTGGCAAATGCAGTCACTGCGAGGTGTTTATCTAGAGGTACCTAAGGAAATGATGCCCAAATTCAGTGGCAACTGCTCCTTCCCAAAGCTCCAGTTCTTAGAATAACTCTAGTTTCTTGTAGCTTCATTTGCTCTGAACTTCCCTCAGGCTCATGACACAGATGCTTACAGCTCTTGTAATTTGTGTTCCTCCTCTTGGCTTCAGTTGTCTGGCATACTTAGGCCTCATGAGTCCACAGAGGTCATGGCAGGTCAGGTATCTCTCAATTTCACCACAGATAAACTTCATATGGAGGTATAGAGCTGAGGCTATAAGCCCCTTACTGCCTGTCAAAGTCCATAGCTTAACACCATGTTCTAACCAACTGAATAAGACAGATACAGTGCTCTAGTCAACATTGTGCTCCCAGTGGGTGGATGATATTTTGAAGCTGCCACACATTTCTCAATATGAAGAACATTAGGATTTTATCACATTGGAGAGATGGGAGTAAGTCATGGCTGTGCTAATAAAAGAAATTTCTATCACGGCTTTGCTTTGAGTGCTGGCATTAACAAAATTTTCACAGAAGTTACAATGATTTGTGTCAGGTGGAAATTTGTGAGAAAAGGCTATCAAAGGTATTACCTGAATAAACTGTTTGGAATGAATCAGAAAACGCAAAGGCTTTTTTGTTTGATTGTTTTTGTTTTTGCTTGGTCTCTCTGCATAGCCCCAGCTCTCCTGAAACTATGTAGACCAGGCTGGCCTGGGATCCATGGAAATCTACTGGGTTTTGCTTCCTGAGTACTGAGATCAAAAGCATATGCCACTACTGCTATCTTGTCCTTCTTGTATTGTGCCCAAACCTGGTTGATTAGTGGGATCTACTGGTAAAATCAGTTTTCATCCCTGACTTAACTGTTCTATGGATGCTTAGGAAACAATGGGAGCTGCATGGGTATTGTCATAAGAGGGTTGTTCATTCTACTCATCCCACTCTTCTATTATGTACAAAAGCTGCACTCTCCCTCTTGCTATTGAGTTATCTACTAGCCTTTTCAACATTATTGATTCCTATCACTTTTACATGATGGCCAAATACATGTGCAGAGTATAGAGGAAAATTTTCACTTCTAGATCCTATATATCTGGAGCTTAGGAACCCTTGATCACATGTAATCTGAATTTTGAACAGTTGTGGATTTCAGTAGTAATTTTTATCTGATACAAAAAAAAGAAGCTTGTTTGATGAGAGGAGAGAACTATACTTATCTGTGGGTGTAAAGATAGGTATTTGGAATACAGTTACAAATTATTTTCCTTTAGGAAACTGGTAGTATCAGGGTTTTCTCTAGGGTATATGACTCGCTAACCTTAGGTAATTGGCTCAGTTTCCAGCACAAGGCATGAATTACCTCTTATTGAACTAGGCTTAAATCCAATTAGAAGGGTGTTAGTTACCCTTAAGATATATGTGCCAGTATTGAACCCCTGTGGATATCTAGCATGCTGGCCGTTGCTGTGGTTCACAAGCTTTACAGCTGGTTAGAACAACTGATTGCTTTTCTTTCTTGGCAGCTTACACAGAACCTCCAGACACTATGAGAGGAGGTCCTTTGTGAGGAGGCTTCCTGATCAGTTCTAGCTCAATCTCACCAAGTCCTGTGTCTGAAGAGTATGGTTTCCTTAACAATACAAACCTAAATTCAAGTTCTGGAATTCAACCAAGGACAATAGCAATATCTTATATTGTTTTTAAATGTATTAGAGTTTGCTGACCAACAGCTCAAATAGAGACTGAGATCTTGCAATGCTTAATAATTGGGGATTTTTTTAGCTAGTCTATGACACCTGGGGAAAGCATTATCACCTCAAAGTCAACCAAGATCTCAACCTTGAGCTCCTTGTGACTCATTATCTTCTTAAATTTTTTGAGACAGGGTTTCTCTGTGTAGCTTTGGAGCCTGTCCTGGAACTCATTCTGTAGGGTGACTGACCTCAAACTCACAGAGATCCAACTGCCTCCAACTCCATGGTGCTGAAATTAGAGATGTGAGCCACCACCACCCAACCTTGCATTTTTTATTTTGTTTTCTATTGATGCTTGGTATTGGACTTGGACCTTATGCATCTTAGGCAAGCACCCCACAAGTGATCTACATTTTCAGCTTTTCTCCATGTATACATTTTACATTATAAAGTCAAAAGAGCTGCTACAATATAAGAAGCTATATACTTACAGTTTATTCTTTATTTGTATGCTGGACTGCTTAGTTTTATTTCTCAACTTGACACAACCTAGAATAACCAGGTAAGAAAATCTTAATGAGGAAGTATCTAGATGTAGAAACTTGTGTTCTATTTTTGTGGGGGAGTCTTGGTTGATTTTTTAGGAGAACCTGATCCATTATGGTATGGACTGCTCCTTAGACAGGGAGTATGAAGAATATAAGAGGGAAAAAGAATGTAGTTGAGAGCAAGCAAACAGTGATTCATGCATCTGTTCTTTTCCTCTGTGCTCTTGACCGTAGACATGGTGCGACTAACTGCCTAAATTCCTGCATCAATTTCCCCCTCAGTGATGAGTTGTAACCTAGAATTTTAAGTTAAAGTATACCATTCTTCTCTCCAAGTTGCTTTTTTTTACATGATATTTTCCAAGGTGGCAGAAATTAATATAGTTATTATATTTCTTTCTAATCATGTCAACTTATTGCTTGTAAAAACTGAGGACTCATGAACAATATAGCAATTATTAGATATACTGGAAATTTCTAGGTACTTCATATTTTCAAATAAGAAAATTTATTTGGAGAAATCAGTAAGTAAACATGGTTTAGGACCACAATATATTACATAAACCTTCATGCATTGTCAATTCCATTTGCATAGTTTTCTAATGGAAACTCCTAGCTAAGTACATTGTCTTTTATTACTTGTGTGTGGGGTGGAATAGAGGGTGTATATGCATATATATGTGCAGGTGTCCATGGAAGCCAGAGAGATTGTTAGATTCCATGGAAGCTGAAGTTAGAGGCATTATGAACTACCTGACATGGGTCCTGGGAACCAAACTCAGGTCTTCTGGCAGAACATAAAGCACTCTTAGCCAATGAGCCATCTCTCTAGGCACACATTTTTTTTTTCTTGAATGATTAAATTCCCACTCTGGTTATTTCTCTACAAACTCTGCCCTACTCAGAAACCAGATCTAAATTTTAAAATTCAGAGGGAAAGCACTGCCAGTAATAAATAATAAATTGAAGTATTTTCACAACAAACAGTAAAAATCATAGATAAAATGGTGACTGTTGTGATTCAACAGTGAAACTAAATAAAGCTTGCTTTGGTAGAGACCTCCCTATACTGGCCAGACTGGCCCTGAAAACCCCTACTCAAAAGGCTTAGTGTCCTTGCATCTGGCATTGTATGATGGGAACCTTAAAACACCAGTTGTAGAATGAAAATCTGCTTATGAACATGAAATTACCAAGATTTTCTGGGTACTCATTGCTGATTGGCATCCAGTAAATTTTGTTACTATATTTTAATATCAAATGTTGTGTATGCATGCTTGAGAAAAAGCAGAAAGAATAAGCCAGGAAAAATCTGAGTAGAACAATATCCTTTGGTTCCCACATTTGTTCTCACCTATTACAGGTTCTTTGCTGACCTGTGAGAAAGACTTCTACACCAACTATGTGAGGATGAGGCCATGCGACCCATGATGGCAGAAGTGTGTGACAGCTGAGAGAAAATACTGCAGCTTTAGTGGGTTTCTCCCCTGTCCTGGTGACCCCTAACATCTCAGGATGATTCATCTTGTCACAATATGACAGAACATCAGTCAAGTTGGCTAAGGTTCCTGAAAGACTAAAAGGAAACAAATCTTTTCTTTGGACAGTTTTGAGTATTTGTATATGCATAAGAAGTAATAAACATTTATTGTTTCAAGTAATATATTTGTAAATAAATATATTTATGTAAATTACTTAGTATGTTTAGCAGAGAACATCCCTTAGAAAAAAGGAACAAATATGTGTGTGTGTGTGTGTGTGTGTGTGTGTGTGTGTGTGTATATAAGTCTGTGTGTATCTGTGTATAAGTACATGTGAGAGCTCAAAACACAGTAATTGCTTATCTCTGCATGCCAGGCACTTCTATATTATTTTAATATTATTCTCTGTGCCTGACGCTTGGATTTTAGGGGCAGCGCTTGATCTTCTGCTGGCCTGCAGTATATGATGAATAACAGAATTGATTTTTCAATTGGAATATAGTAAATTTTCCTAGAAAATAATATAAAACAAAATATGGCTTTTGGATATTGATCCTTCACTTATATTGAGAGCCACAATAAAGCCTAGCTCATCAGCTGTAGATATCTTTACTTTTCTATATGATAAAATGTAGAAATTCCTTCCATTTTCAGGGTAGCAGTAAAAGTTGCATGCATTTGGTAAAACTTGCTGATGTAAATTAAATATGTTAATTTAGCATTTAGAAGAGTGAGAGAAATAAGCAACATCAGAATGAAATAAAGGGATGATAAATCAGAAGTTCTGTGCCTGGCAAGGTATTGGAGCAGCAAATGCAGAACTGACGCTCAGAGCCTGACTTCCATATGTCTTCCAACCTAACAACGTGAAATTTATCTCTTGAGTGGGCAGGAGAGTGCACATTAATGGAAGCCACTGAGACACTTTTCCTGCCCTGCTTGTAACTAGACTCAAGTGTGCCCCAAATTGCTCCCTTGTGCTTGGATTTATTTTCTTCTCAGAGGCTCTGGATATTGTATTTCACTACAAAGAGCTAAAAAACATTGCAATCATTATTTATAAATCTTTTAGAAAAATGCATTTTCTTAGCAGCAACTATGGCAACAGGGAGCTCAAAATGCCCCAGGAGCAGAACTGCTTCTCACTGCACAGGGAAACATACCCAGGATGTACACTCTGTCACTGCCCTTCAGGGTAACACACCAGGATGTATACACTGTGAAAATGACTATTTCAAAACCGGAAAATTTTAAGCAAACAATCAGCACAAGGGGTTAGTTACATTGTTTGATACACGTGTGACATATAAGCAAATCTAAATAATGAAATATAAAGTCCACTTAACTGTGTTATATCAAAGCAATATTCAGGTATTGTAATACAGAGCACATTTATCCAATCATCATGGAAAGTTCATAAACAAGGGTTAGCTAACAGCGGGGGAATTAACCCCCCCCACACATTTCTAAGGTGCAGCCACTTTTCTAATCTTGGAGAGGCCTCGGATTTGTAGTGTTTATATTACTGCCATTTATAATAAATTTAGTGATCTTTCTGGAAACAAAATTGAGTCACTCTTCTTAAGTGACTAGAGAGCACAGTTTCTGTTGTATAGTGTTGCAAAAGTGTATCTCCTCTTTTTATTTTATTCTGCTATTTGTTTGTTTGTTAAGAGACAAAGTCTCACTATGCAGTGAAGTGGAGGACTTGGAACTCACTATGTAGATAAGGCTGGGTTTGAACTCACAGAGCTCCAACTCAATCTATCTCTCAAGTGCTGAGACTAAGGGTATAAGCTTCCAATACAATTTCTTTAGCTAACATGTTACTTTAAAGCATACTTACAAAACTCTTCCATATTTTAGTTGGCACAGAGCTTTTTATTATAGCATTTGTTTTTTTCTGTTCATTAATAAGTCACTATATATATGTATAAATATACATATATAATATAATTGAAACTCAAATATGTGATGAATCCAAGGTGTTTCAGTGAGTGCTCACCTGTGCATGCAAATTTGAT